AGTGTTATATATTTGTAAGTTTTTAGTACAGTAGAGACCCCTTAACATATACTTATGTGATATATATGTATATGCAATGTACGCATATTTACAGATTCAATACAGATTCGTTAGCATATATGCTAAGCAGCTAATCACAGTAGAGCCCCCCTTAATGAATATACATATGTATATACTTGGAGTGTACATATAATATATATTTATATATATAGTGTTTCAAAACATATAAATAGAGAATGTTTAGCTTTCGTTAGGTTTATATCATATATATGTTATGCTAAACACCAAGAGTTGAGTTAAGCTGCGCTTGGGTCCACCCTAAGAGTGCACCGAGTACGACGTCACCTTGCCGTTATCGTTGACCGTGGTCTGTGCCCCACGGCGACTGGTGCCGTCGCCGTTGCTGCTGCTGTACGAGGAGACAGAGACGCCCTTGTAGCCGCCACCGCCGCTGCTGGAGCCGAAACGGTTGACGATATTGGGCGATGCCTGTAACAGCAATAGAATGGCTTGAATTATGCTCTTCTAGTCAGCTGTCAATCATCGTTCGCTTACCGCATTGGCCGGACTGATGTAGGCCGTTTGCCTGTGTCCATTGGCGCCGATGGAGCCAGCGGCCAGGGCATAGCTGGGCGCATAGCGGTGCGAGCTGGAGCCGCCTCGGTAGCTATTCTGGCGCACCAGGTTGTCGTGGTAGGCCTGCTGGGCGGCGATCTGCTGCTGGATGCGCCTGTCAGACAAAAAGCACAAGGATTTCAGTTAGCTGCTGCGTCATCCACGATCTCAGCGTGCGGATTAGTGGTTAGTTGGGGGAGAAGTTAGTACTAGGAAAGCAGTGTAATTACGTGTCATCGTCGCTTATGGTCGCATCCGCAGATGCGTACGCATTGCCAGACGTGGCCAGTCCCGTTATAGCTCTACAAGAATAGATTACAAGCGCTGTTAGCATCCCCATCCACCAATGCCCACTTAGACTACCCCAGCAGAAAACCCCCCACAATAAAGAAATAACACCACCCATTTGCATAGACCAAATGCTCACTGTTGGGTTGCGTAGTTCTGGGCCAGAATCTGGTTGGTCAGCTGCTGGTGGAACAGGTAGGGGTCCGTGATGCCAAAGTTTGGCGCGTAGCCGTAGTCGTCGTAGTCATTGTAGGTGCCCGTGTAGCCACCCACTCCGCCCCCGCTGCTGGCGTAGCCACCTGCATATCCTCCGGCGTAGCCTCGGCGACGGCGCGACACCTTGCGAGCTGCAATAGAGAATCGAATTGGGATTAACACCACCAATTAATGAACCACCAAATGAATCCCTGCTAGCTGATTCGAATGCTTCAGGCCATACTAAGTATCTCTATCTTTAATAGCAATGGATCATTAAATCAATCGACTTTTCGTTAGCTTCACATTACAGTAGTAATTAGTAGATGATGAATTGATTTTGCTGTTGTTGCTTAATCAAGTGAGCTAAGAAGATCCGGCTCAAAGTCAACGTCTATTATTTTGCATGTCTAATGCCCAAAAATAATTAACATTATTAGTTAATCATATTTTTGAACAAATTGTTAATTAAACAAAAATGTATATAATGGCAATAATCATAATTAAATAGAATGGAAAGTATAATAAATATAATGAATTTTTTCATAGATAATTAAAATCAAATTAATTAATAAATTATTCGTTATATAAATTTCATGACATTTTAAAAATATTACTGTTTTTTTATTTTTTATTAATTACTGGAATATTTTTGGCACAGAGAGTTGAATTAGACGCGCAGGAGATGGAGAGCGAAAATGAAATGGCCAAAGAGTAAGCATAAAATAGAAAGTTGTCTTTATATGTGATGCTCTAATGGATTTTATCACTTCACATGTTCCTATATAAGACGAGCAGAAGTGCCTAATCCAGCTGCAATAGACTTCATCAATGCAATAAATTATGCAAATCACACTTTCTAATAATCTTTTCCATTATTATGTCTAAAAGTAGTAGAAATTATCGATGAAATCTAAGTGGATTAAAAAAGTAAGAATTTAATAATTTACATATTAATAAGACGATGTTTCAGAAAGAGTCCGAAACTTCGCATGAAAACGAACTATGTACGCCTTGAAACTTAATGCAAAATAGGGCTATATTTCAATAATGAGCTCATCTACCTACCAACATAACCATAACACATCATAGATGTATTTTATATAAATATTCATATGTTTCTATTTTTTTTTTTTTTTTAGTATCCAATTTTTCATATGTATATTAATTTCCATCATCATGGTAAATATTTTATTTTTGTACTCATAGGCCTTAATTGTCTTTATGATTATTATTTATTTGTTGCTATTATCATTTATAAATTATTATATTTATTTTTATTTATTTACCATTAATATATCATTATATTAAGTTTCATTATTATTATTATTATTCTATTCCTCTATTTATTTCAATTTTCATCATTATTATTTTTTCCT